CTCAACTTTCCAGATGACAAGCTCAGCATCTTTAAGCACCGAGTCATCGCATCCCCATGTATATTTTCAGTATTTCTGGGTTTGCTTGTCCTAGACTTACAACTACAACTGAGCCCAAGCAAGACAGGATTGCATGAGAAAAGGACATCTTCCTTTCCCCTCTCCTTACCACTTTTTACAGAGGGAAGATTGAGAGCATCTTGTCATATGGCATTACTGTCTGGTTTGGAAGCATTACTGCTTCGGACAGGAAGGCGGTGCAGAATGGTGAGGATGACAGAAAAGATGATTGGTAGTTCACTTCCTTCTGTCCAGGACGTGGAATATAAGGGATGCTTGAGCAGGGTCTGCAGGATTGTCTGGGACTCTACACATCCTCTTCACAACCTGTTTTCCTTGTTACCTTCTGGGAGGAGGCATCACAGTATCCAAAACAGAACATCCAATTCAGTCACAGTTTTGTTCCATATAGCATCAATCATGTGATCTCTCAAGTTTCCTTTTTCTGCTATGTATTCAATATTTGATTAATATTTAACATTAATATTTATATGTATATGTTTGTGTGTGTGTGTGTGTGTGTATTTAGGTTGCTAACAAAGAATAAAGAGAGAACTGGTATAGCTATTTCGAGTTCAGTTAACTCTCTTCAGCCAGACTTACTCTTCTGAGATTCGAACCTGGGCTTATCTGCATGTTAGGCAGTTGTTATAACCTCTAAGCCACAGGCTCTCTCCCACTCTGTTAGCTATCAGGAGAGAGACAGGGGGAGGAGATTTTTACCTTGAATGTACACCCTGTCAGCCCAAATATGGGAGAAAGAAATCTTCTTTCTTTTTCTTTTTCTTTTGCCTGTATCAGCTCAATCTAGAGCAGTGGTTCTCAACCTGTGGGTCGGGACCCCATTTGGGGTCAAACGACCACTTCATGGGGGTCGCCAAACAACGCAGTCCACCATTTTTTTCCCTTTTTCCTAGCTGTCCTACTCCCTCTTATTGGTGGCCACACCAACTTGGGGGTCACCACAACATGGGGAACTGTTTTATGGGGTCATGGCTTTAGAAAGGTTGAGAACCACTGATCTAGAGCCATCCACAAGCAGCAGTCGCCAACTGCGACATCATTTTACATTTTACATATATATATGAGTGTAGGTATGTTAACAATTACACTAAAAATATGATCCCTGGGTATATCCATGTTTAAAACCAAACAAATAAATGTGAGCACCAGGGAATGCTTAAGAATTTAGTAAAATTTAATAACATGCCAATAAAATTACAATAAAATCAATAAAACGCCTAGCTTTCGTCTGCAACTGCTGACATCATCAGGGCTCAAAATGCCGGTCAGTGGGAGAGTCCTCTTTATAGATTGGTCAGAGTCTGCACTCGAGTGCAGGTATATATATATAGGGACTGGAGGCTAAAACATATAAAGAACGGTTGCTGGAACTGGATATGTCTAGTTTAATGAAGAGAAGGACAAGGGGGGACATGATAGCAGTGTTCCAATATCTCAGGGGCTGCCACAAAGAAGAGGGAGTCAAGCTATTCGCCAAAGCGCCTGAAGGCAGGACAAGAAGCAACGGATGGAAACTAACCAAAGAGAGAAGCAACCTAGAACTAAGGAGAAACTTCCTGACAGTTAGAACAATTAATCAGTGGAACAACCTGCCTCCAGAAGTTGTGAATGCTCCAACACTGGAAGTTTTTAAGAAGAGACTGGACAGCCATTTGTCTGAAATGGCATAGGGTTTCCTGCCTGAGCAGGGGGTTGGACTAGAAGACCTCCAAGGTCCCTTCCAACTTTATTATTGTTATTATTATATTTATATAGCATGTGTATATGTGTGTTATGTATGTGTATGGGTAAATATATACTTTCTTTTGAGAGCAGGCCTACAAGCAGGCAATGTAGGCCAGTTTACTACTTACAGTAAAAATGACAATAAAGGTTATCTTATCTTATATACGGAAGCTGCAGTACCCAAAGTAGGCATGGAAAAACTGTCTCTTCTGGAAAGGGTGGCTAGCAAGAATTAACCTAGGCGTATCAAAACGTGTAAGAGCCAGCTGGAGCAGATTCTTTACATCCTAGGTCCAACCAAAGACCAAGCAAAAATTTTGCTTAATTTGCCCGCAGTTTTTCTCATGTTATTTTAAATTATTTTAGTAGATGAAAAATGTGGCTTTTCTTGTTGTAAATGCCTGCCACTTTCTTAACATTATGGCACAACATTCCAGGAATAAACATCCCATTTAGATCATGTACTACAGAATTCTCTTTATCATAACAACTATCAAGTTTTCAAAAATTGCTAGTGGTAAACCACTAGCCTGTGATTTTTTTTCCCTCCCAATCTGTATTTAAATAGCTGCAAATAGCTGGCCGTGGCTGGTTTCATAAGTCAAAGAGCCAATTTGTTGTAATGATTAAAGCATCAGGATAAAAATTGTGGGACTGTTGAGTAGGCATGAAGCCAGCTGGGGACTTATCTGTCCTTCTCTCTCAACCCCAGGTGGAGGCAACTTCTGAAACCTTGCCAAGATAACTGCGGGGACGAGTTCAGACGGTTGCCAGGACTCAGTAATGACTCAAAGGCACCAAAACAACAACAAAGAAAATTAGACCATAGTAATACCTGGGTGGGTTGTAAGCTAGGCTGATAAGTGAAAATAACTTCCCAGGAAAAAGCAATGGCAAATATCTCCTTCAAGACAAATCAAGGAAATACAGGGGTGAGTTCTTGAAATGAGCAGGAGTTGAACTTGACTAGAAGCAGACTTAACTTAGATTTCCCTTGAACACTAGGAACATTTTGACTTCTTAATGACTTTGGAGGCTGGTGAGCTTTTCTTCCACAGAGGTCTTATTTGGATACTCTAGTTCAGGATGCCCTACTTCAAACAGATGACCTTCTAGGACAGTGGTTCTCAACTTTTTTAATGCCATGACCCCCAACCGGTCGTAAGTCGAGGACTACTCAACCGGTCGTAAGTCAAGGACTACTCAACTGGTGCAGCACCGTTTGCAGAATGGGACTTTTGGTGGGCTCAGCAGAGCAGAGACAGCCTGGACAATTCCTATTGGCTTTTGAAAGCCAGCAGAATTAGACTCTATTCAAGAGAGTCTATTCTATTGGTTTTCAAAAGCCAAAGGAATAAAAGGGAGTAGCACAGCTAAGGAAAAGGGGGGGAAAATGGCGGACTGCGTTGTTTGGCGACCCCCATGAAATGGTCGTTCGACCCCAAATGGGGTCCCGACCCACAGGTTGAGAACCACTGCTCTAGGAGATTTCATCCCATTCTGTGGTTCAAATGTACCTGTTACAAGGGAGCTAATTCATTTTCTTGACAGGATTAAGGTCTTACAGTGGCATGATAGAGCAGCCCTAAATTTGTTGGAAAAATAAAGCAGAAAGAAGCAGCAGCAAGTGGCCCACTTTAAAAAAAAATAGTACTGGGAGCAAAGTGGAATTTGGTTACCTTCCTAATACAGTATTTGAAAATAGAAATTAGAAAATTGCACCAATTAGAATAGTTAAGATACTAATTTTCTAGTGTTTGGAATGCCTCATTTTGACCAAGTCTTTCTGCTCACACCCAGCATATCACAGGATTGATGGAAGGGGATGGAGGGGCTAAAACGGAGCAAGGGAATGCACATTTTCTTGCTTAAAAGGTTACATAATGTGCCCAAATGAGACAAGCCAATCAAAATATAGTAGAACTAGAGCAAAACAATATCTATTGGTTCCTACTGGTGGGGTGGAAACATTCTGATGGAGGCAGGCTCAATAGCGATGCCAGTTTATTCTACTTTTTAAGGAAAAGAATGAGCAGTGAGATAAAAAAGAAAAGACATACTATCAGTCAGAGACAAGAGAACATTTCAACACAACTTTTCTAGAATTTCTAGAAGCCTGCCACTCTGACAAGTCAGTCATCAATACCGATAGTCACACAGACATTAACATCTCTAGACTATGCAAAAGGGACGATCACTCAGCCCAAAAAGGGACAAAAAGACCCAACACCTCTCCACCAGCAATCAGCACCCAGATCAGCACCGATTAATTCCAAGGTTAACATCAGACCAGCAATCAAATAAACAATATCCCAATCACAAACTGCCAAAGAGCCAAAAATAAACAGCCCAACCAAAGAATCTCTAAGACAGTGGTGGCGAACCTATGGCATGGGTGCCAGAGGTGGCACTCAGAGCCCTCTCTATGGGCATGTGTGCCGTCTCCCCAGTCCTCGGCCTTCAGCTGGGTTTTATAAAACCTTTTTGCTTTAGGCCTCTGCCGTCATGTACAAAAAAAAAAAAAAAAAAGGTTCAATCAGTCAATTTCAACTTCTCGCAGGAAAAAAAAAGATCTTGCAAAGTTGGAATTGATTGAACTTTTTAGTCCCACCCAGTCTGCCGTTACCACCGCAGCCACGCCCACCCAATGGGCCATACCCACCTGGCACCCGACGATGCATAAGTGGGTTTTGGGTTGCAGTTTGGGCACTCGGTCTCTAAAAGGTTCGCCATCACTGCTCTAAGACCATCCCTACCAATAATGACAGGGCAAGCTACCAAAATATAAACTGACAGCAAACTGCACTCTTTACTAGCACTGATGTTACCTAGTTTGAATAATGAAATGCCTGCAAGAAAACAAGCAAGCTCAGAGGGCACCAAGGACCCTTCATGTCAACCCTGAGCTACAAATAATTCTCCTCCATTAAAGACCATCTGCTAGGGAGCTAGAGTGAAAGAAAGACATTCTGCATATAAGTCACTGTTTGTCAACCTGGGTCAGTTTAAGATGTGTGGACTTCAACTCCCAGAATTCCTCAGCCAGTTGTGCTGGCTGGGGAATTCTGGAAGTTGAAGTCCACACATCTTAAACTGACCCAGGTTGACAAACACTGATATAACTGCTATCAACTGCCTATCACCACCAACCACCCACCCACTTCCAGTCCACAAAAGACCCTGGAGCAAGATTTTTAAGATAGCACTTTATTTGGTTCACAAGCACGAGAGCAAAGATGGGCGGTGGCAGCCATTCCTGGAACCACCTAGACAGATTGTAGAAAAGGCCAAGAGTCTCTGGAACGTGGATAGGCTGGTTACAGGGAAAGAAGGCAAGTTAAGCTGAGAAGTAATCCAGCAGACGAGGCCTCAGTGCTTGGCATGTATTTGGGCTGTGCTTGGGCTGGAGAAAATCAGGTGGCAACTCTTACCACCAGGGTAGCTACTCCTGGGAGTATGACCATACACATCTCTTGACAGGGTTGGATCCTATAATATTCTGGAGTGGGAGTGAAGGAACAAAGGAATGAGGGAGGGAGGGAGGGGGGGAGGAAGGAAGGAAGGAAGGAAGGAAGGAAGGAAGGAAGGAAGGAAGGAAGGAAGGAAGGAAGGAAGGAAGGAAGGAAGGAAGGAAGGAAGGTTTCCTGGCCTCGCTGTGTGCTGCTTTCCTATTCCTACTAAGATCCAATTTTTCACAGCGTAATTCAAGATAGTGCACAAGTGAATCTTTTAAAGTGCATGTGGCATAGCTCAGTATTGGTTTATTCAAACCAACAGGAGACTCCAAGTTTCATCTGCCTAAGTCAAGCGAGGAAAGCATATCTCTAAAGGGTATCAGTTGCCTCTCCTTTGGAAGGATGATCCCCTAAATCCCTTCCAAAGCAGGACTACCCATGCCTATAGCTCCCATGTAGGTCACACCAGCTGGAAAAACAACCAAGCCTGGTTCAATGTTCAATCAGGCAGCTGGAACCCCTGGATCTCCCATTTGCTCAGTATGAATGTGAGAGAAACCCCAAGAGCACTATCTACCTCTCCTTCAGGGGACCTCTCCCTCCTCCCCACCCCTCCATCCAAGCAAGTGTTGGTGCATGCAGTCCCAACCCCTTGTTTACTTCTTCTTCTTCTCCTGAGTGCTGGTAAACCAGGAGTCCAAGAGCTTTTTGCTGTAATAAAGTTGCCAGCCATGAACTTGCACCGCCACCACTATCAACAAATACATGACAGAGACTGCAGAGAAACCAAAGATGAAACGGTAGGCTTTGCCATGGCGGTAGAGCTGCTGAGCCATCGGGAACATCTCCATGCTGCCGTAGATGAGAGGCGCCACCGAGAAGAGGCCAGTGCTGATCATGGAAATCACCAGGTAGCTGATGTTGTTTCGGGGAAAGGAGAAGAGGCCAAAGAGGGAAGGGATGATGCTGAGCAAGTAGGGGTACTCCCATTGGTAAGGCATGGCCACCTTGTCATGGGGCAGAAGTTTGAAGTGAGCTACGCACATCTGTGCTGCCACCAACAGCCACAGGGCCACCTGTATGTAGATCAACTTCTTAATCTCAGACTTGAGAGAGACGCTGTGGAAAGCAGAGAAAAGACACAAAGGGGAATGGTGAGTTTGATCCTCTGCTAAAAGGAGTCAGAGAGTTTTAAAAACTGAAACAAAAATCAGAGCGGCCTTCCAAACCCAATGGCCTTCTGGAATGGTTGAATCAGGAAGCTCAACTTCTATGGGTAACAGATGAAATGAATCGGAGATGGTATTAAGTCTCTGCCCTCATGTCACTCATGGATCCATACCGTAGGAATGGCATGACATGGCAGGATAAGCACATATTTAGTCACTGGATACACATTTGGAACTCTGAAAGAACTTTCACAAAACGGCTACTATAATGGACTTAATCAAGGGCAACAAGAAAAATTCATTTAAATTTCATTGAAAACTAAGTTGTGATGTTGCCCTCTACAGCCACCCCTAGTCCCCATGGATGCTTTCTATCCACTCAGCTTCATTTTGTCCTTTCTAATTGTAGCCAACATACTTCCAAATATTCATCAACTTACGACCAGTTGATTAGTGACCATTCAGTGTTATGCTGGACCTCTGAGGGTACTTATGAGGATTTGAATTTCTGATGGCCGCACACAACCCTCGTGGTCACATGATCACACTTTGGGCGCTTGGCAACCGGCCTGCCTTTATGGCTATTTGCAGCATCCCGCAGTCATATAACCATGCTTTACAGCAGCTTTGCCAAAAACCGGCAGTTATTTCGTTTGGGGCAAAACTGGTCGATAGTGAGCCATTCATTTGCTTAATGACAACCGCCCGTGTGGGTGGCCCGATTTAAGACTGGTGGGCAGGCTCCCTTACCGCCGTAACTTGAGGATACCATCTAACCATATTCATTTTCTGAAACCATGAAAAGAATTCATAGGCATCTTTGTAAATATCTGTTTGAAAATGACAGCCAGTGTGGTGTAATGCTTAAGGTGCTGGATGACAACTGGAGAGATATACATTCCAATGCACTCTGGTCGCATTCTCTCTCAACCAGGGCCTACCTTATAGAGTTGTTGGGGGAGGATGGAAGACAGGAATATTTTGTATGTCTCCTTGAGCTCCAGTACAAAAACCTAAACCCAGATAGTCCTCAACTTAACAACCATTTGTTTAATGACCCTTCAAAGTTACAATGGCACTGGAAAAAAGTGATGTATGGCCGTTTTTCACATGACCGTTGCAGCGTCCCTGTGGTCATGAGATCAAAATTTGGATGCTTGGCAACAGGCATGTATTTATGATGGTTACAGTGTCCTGGGATCATGTGGTCACCTTTTGTGACCTTCTGACTAAGCAAAGTCATTGAGGAAGCCAGATTCACTTCATAGCTGTTACTACCTGTCAGATCTGCCACCTTCTGCTTGGCTCCTCGTTGGCATCCTGCCATCAACTGTTAAGCGGTGGGGGAAAGGAGAGGAAATGGGCAATAAGTATGGATGGGGTAGAGAAGACCAAAAGGGAAGGGGTGATGACAGGTTGAGGGCAACCAGAGGTGCGAGAAACCAGCCTGTTCCAGTCTTCAAGGCCACGAATCCTGAGAAAGGAATGGGGGTTGCACCAAACATCCCAGCAATACTGAAAACACCTATGTGACACATCACTGACTGAAGGTGAACCAGTCAAAAGGGGAGGGCTGGGATGAAGAAGAAAAGTTTGTAAACTTTTGTGTGTGAATTTTAATTCTAGCCTGGTTTTGCTGCAACCACCAATACTTAGTAAAAGAGCCTATCGCTTCAACCAAATGGAGTGTTGTTCTTTCCTAGAATCTAGCTGGGACAAGCCTGACTCTACCTTAACAACTGCAGTGGTTCACTTAACAATTGTGGCAGGAAAGTTCGTAAAATGGGGCAGAACTCAGTTAACTATTGTCTTGCTTAAAAAGTGGGGCTTAGTTGTGGTTGTAAGTCAAGGACTATCTGTATAAATAAAGCTGGTACTTATTTTCAATGGGGGCTTCCCTTTATTTCATTTAAAATAATCTTCAGAAGAAAAATATCCAGCTACTGCAGACAATCTGGCAGCTATTAAGAAAAAGTGCCAGTGGTTGCTTCATTACCCACTTCTGAACTACAGGACAGACTTTTGCTTCCTTGAGGCAAAGCAGTCCTAACCTGAGAAAAGCTGTTCCACGAGACAGGTCAAGAGGCATTCATGAGAAATATTTTTCTCCCAAAGCCCCAGGGCTTTTATCATTGCATAACAAGCAAACATTCAGTGACTGTTTTACCCAACGTAATGATGTTGCAATGGAAAAAGCTTCAACAGCTAAATTACCACGAGACAGCTGTACCCAGTTATTTACTTAAACCACATTTACCCTGCTCTTCAACTCCACCCCTGCCCACCACCTTCTGGCACCTATGTCACATGGAACTTATGACAAATCTCTTACTTTCCAATATGGTAGAATGGTGCCCATTCAAACATCTGATAAGTCAACAACATGGTAAAAGTCTGGAAAGATAAAATCTGCCTTTCGTTTTCTGTTTACCTCTTTTTTCAGCCACTAGTAAAAACTATCGTAAGTCAGTCCCTTTATCAATCAACTAGCAACCCATAGCGGTTAAAGTGCTGGGTTCTATTTCTGCCTTAGGCATGAAAGCTGATTGGGTGACTTGATCAATCACTCTGTCTCAGCCCAACTCAGCTCACAGGGTTGTTGTTGCGGGGAAAATAGGAGGAGGAAGGCGCATTATATATGTTCTCCACCTTGAGATACTTACAAAGTGATAAAGGCAGGATAAAAATGTAATAAATCAGTAAGTAATTTGGGCATAAGCACCAAATAATACATTGATTGGTTGGCCAAACTCATGACATCGGAGAACCCTTGACATCAAAAATGGTTGCCAAGACTGTAGGTACTCCTCCAGAAAGTTGCCATGAGTTGAAAGTGACTTGCATAAAACAATAATCCTGCTAAAACCTGTGTTTACAAGTAAAGATACTTTAAGACAGTGTTTCCCAAACTTGACAATTTTAAGGCATGTGGACTTAAAATTGTCAAGTTTGGGAAACACTGCTTTAAGACAATGATCTTCTCTACTCCAAAAAGCAGAGGATGATGCCCAAGAAAAAAGGAAGGCTTGCTTAACTTCGAAGCAGAGGGCCCAGATTCTCCCTCCAGCCAACCTCTCTGAAATAAGTATCAAAAATGTGGTGAAAATGAAGACATTAAGTTAGCTGGATTGAATGGATTTGTTCCATTTGAAAGTCTGTCTAGGTGTTTTCTTCTCCCAATAAACTTCTTTTAGATCTAGAGAATTGGCTTTGTTGGTTTAACAAGGGCATTTCTCATTCAAAGCTTGCAAGAGCCTCTTAATTATAGATGAAGTCATCCTCCAGGCAAATCAAATCGGACTGACCTCAAAGGTACATTATCTGGGCAATAAGAGAATGTTTGGCTACTATTTCTTCTAGAAAGCTTTTCAACTTCTCAGGCTCCTCTACAGCCCAGAGAGAGATCCTGGTGAATTTCCACTCAAGTACTAATCCTGTTTAGCTCTTACCACCTCAGCTAAATGCTGCCACCGCTGCCTGCTGTGTATTTTTGCAGATATCCTCAATTAAAACAACCCAGTTCCTTCGGTCAGAGGCTTATGCCGTAGAAGACAAGCCACCAAGAATGCAATCTAAGGAAAAATGCAGTGTTTAACCTCATTATTCAAATACAATCGAGCAGCATGCTATCTCCCGCCTTTTACCTTTGGGGAAAGGAGCTTATATAAAAAGGTAGGGGGGGGGGGAATGCACTAAATGACTCTCATTTTAGAGGAAACCACCAATTCAATGATCGGTAGGAGAGCCAACGACAATCGTCCTGTCGAGTCGGTTGCAGAGTATGGATCAGACAGGGCAGACAGGAAAGCGGCAGCTCCCGATGCTGCAACATGCAGGTTTAAAGACGGGGAGGAGGGGGAAATTGGCTTCCTAATGGGTGCATGAGCGCGACCCCACCCCACCTCATTTGGTAATGCTGGGCCACGCGCTCCCGGTGCCGGAAGTCGCTGCCATCGGTTCCCGTGGCTCGAGGTCCCGCGCGCGAAGCCATCTTCACGAAGGGCAGAAAGCGACCGCCAAGGCAAAGAGCGCATGCGTTAACATGTGCTAACGTATTGTTTTGGGAGCTCCGCCTCCCGCGCATTGGTAGTTCAGTCAGTGGCTGTTCTGTTCCTCGGACGGGCGGGTCCTCCTGGTTTTTTTTTTTTTTAACAGGGAAAAAGAGGCGGTGCTATACGGCATTTGCTCTCTCGCAGGAAACTACATCTCCCAGCAGCGACCGTGCCTCTAACAGGTGAGGCAGGCAGTCGTCGTACGTGTGTCTACCGTCCAGTAGATGCTTCCGGGCTGTTTGCCGCGCGCTCGGGATGTTCAGGATTAGCCTCCGCCGCGTGGACTGCGCGCGCGGAAGGCTGCGCGCGCATTTCAGCACCCCGCCTGCTTGGTAAGAAAATCGGTCAGTTTCCATTAGCACAAGGGTCTTCAAATTTGGCCCTTTTATGACCTGTGGACTTCAACTCCCGGAATTCCTCAGCCAGGTACGCTGCCTGAGGAATTCTGGGAGTTGAAGTCCACAAGTCATAAAAGGGCCAAGTTTGAAGACCCCTGCATTAGCATCTTAACTCGCCTTCTTTTGCCGGGGCTTCTGTCTGTGTGGTGACAGGCAGAACGCCCCAAAGGTGCTTTTTCAAGAGGCCAACTGGACTTTCTTGTTTTTTCTTTGAAGACGTTTTGCTTCTCATCCAAGAAGCTTCTTCTGCTCAGACTGGATAGGGGGGAAATGGAAGGATTTATACTCCTTGCAGACAGCTGATCATTTGGCTCCTTTTAGAGAGTCGTTGAGGTCATTTGAAAGTTTATTTGTGCCCTCGGGGTTACCTGAGTATTACCAATGTGTGTGGAGCCTTCTTGGCTGCAGGACGTTTTCTGCCCTGTGTCCCTTCACTGTGAAGAGTAGCACAGGCTGTGTGGTCTGCATCTCAAACTGAAGCGCCAATGGTTCCTGTAGTCTGCAACGTTTTCTGGAAATCCTTTCATACTCCTGTACCATTCGGAGCAGCTTCATCCCAAAGTGCATAGCTAAATGTCTGTGGAGATTCTCAGTCATCCAGGTCATGGTTGTTCCAAAGGTGCATTTTCAGGAGGCAACTGGACTTTCTTGTTTTGCCAGGACCTAAATGACTGAGAATCTCCAGGCAGAAGAAGCTCAACAAGCATGACTCGTGCGGGCAAGAAATGCCGCAAGGGAAGAAGTACGCTTCGTCAGTGGTGACATCCCTTGCCTGCATTTCTCGCAAAGAGGGAGCTGCAGAGATACCTCCAGAATGACTGGAAGTTCTCCTATTAGAGCAGTGGTTCTCAACCTGTGGGTCGGGACCCCATTTGGGGTCGAACGACCATTTCACGGGGGTCGCCAAACAACGCAGTCCGCCTTTTTTTCCCCCTTTTCCTTAGCTGTGCTACTCCCTTTTATTCTATTGGCTTTTGAAAGCCAATAGAATAGACTCTATTCAAGAGAGTCTAATTCTATTGGCTTTCAAAAGCCAATAGGAATTGTCCAGGCTGTCTCTGCCCTGCTGAGCCCACCAAAAGTCCCATTCTGCAAACGGTGCTGCACCAGTTGAGTAGTCCTCGACTTAACGACCAGTTGAGTAGTCCTCGACTTATGACCGGTTGGGGGTCGCAGCATTAAAAAGGTTGAGAAGCACTGTATTAGAGGAAAAGAAGCCGAGAGACAATTCAAGCCAGCTGTCTTTCAGGCTTCGTCTGGACCTGTTTATTGCACCAACCTTGTAAGCATGTACATCGATATTTCTCAACCATGGTAGCTTGAAAGATGTGCGGACTTCAGTTCCCAGAATTCCCCAGCCAGTTATGTGGGGAATTCTGTGAGTTGAAGTCCACACATCTTCAAGTTACCAAGGTTGTGAAACATTGATGTGCAGGATAGTTTTTTCTTCTCCGGGTTTATAAATGAGAAGCTACCTTGAGCTACTTTTGTCTGCCTCTCCAAATAAATCCATGAATGAAATCCATGGGAGTTGAGCAAGGGAAGTATTGAATGGCTGTAGTTGTATTTCAAATTTTCTTAGAAATACATTGAAATACAAGAATGGCTGTTTCATTTATATATAGCCCACTCTTATTACCTGGTTTGAAATTGAAGAGAGAATAGCAAATCCATATGTATTTACATCAGCTTCCATTTCTAAGCCTGGATGTTTCTAAAATTTGTTCATGTCAACAGGTTTAGAAAGCTCTTTTTTCAGCCAAGCTTCATATATGAGCCGAGGTGGCGCAGCAATTAGAGTGCAGTACTGCAGGCCACTTTAGCTGACTTTGTTCAGCAGGTCAGCGGTTCAAATCTCACCGGCTCAAGGTTGACTCAGCCTTCCATCCTTCCGGGGTAGGTAAAATGAGGACCCAGATTGTTGGGGGCAATGTAAATATATATATATATACATTGTTTACTGGTGTACACCGCTTAGAGAGTGCTTGCACTTAAAGCGGTATATAAGTCTCATAAATAAATAAATAAATATAAAACATCTAGCTGCCCTGTGAGAATTTCAAGACAAAGGAAGTCAATGACGCCAATTTCGTTTCAAAATTAGTATGGAATGATCCTTTAGAGTAGTTCTTATTCATTTACTGCAAGGGTCTTCAAACTTGGCCCTTTTATGACATGCTGGCTGAGGAATTCTGGGAGTTGAAGTCCACAAGTCAGAAAAGGGCCAAGTTTGAAGACCCCTGATTTACTGTGTTCACATTAAAATGCCTCTCCTCTCCAGGCATTGTTAGAATGCAGTATTGCAGGCTAATTCACTGCTGACTGCCAGGAGTTCAATCCTGACCTGCTCAAGGTTGACTCAGCCTTCCAAAGTCGGTAAAATGAGGACCCAGGTTGTTGGGGGCAATATGCTGACTCTGTAAACCACTTAGAGAGGCTGTAAAGCTCTATGGAGAGATATATAAGTCTAAGTGCTATTGCTATCCATTCACTTGATCTCTTATATACAATGAAGGAAGTAGCAGTTCTTTGGAGATTGCTGCTCTGCAGTTCGAAACACTCACTGCTCTACAGCAACATCTAGGCTGTCACAGGTTTCCCCCTCATTACATTTTGTGAAACTTTTGATGAGCATAATTCCAGTTGTTAACTGCCAAGAATGGTGGTGGTAAGGTATTCATCTAGATCAGGGGTCTTCAAACTTGGCCCTTTTATGACTTGTGGACTGCAACTCCCAGAATTCCTCAGGCAGCGTGCCTGGCTGAGGAATTCTGGGAGTTGAAGTCCACAAGTCATAAAAGGGTCAAGTTTGAAGACTCCTGATTTAGATAAAAAATAATAATTATTGGAAAAAAGAGAATGAATATGAAGATAACAGCTGGCTTAGAATACAAGTGGGTTTTTTAAACAATTTTCATTTGACTTAGGTATCACTTGCTGAAGCTAAAAAAATTAGACAAGTCAATGGGAGAAAGACCCAGTAAAATAAACTACTTGAAACCGTTAAAGCCACTGGAGCCTGATTCGTTGCTGAAACTACTGGAAGCATCTATAGTACATGCGGATGGTACGTACGTTCTCTCATAATTCTTGAGTCAATGGTAGGGAACCCTGCAGATATTGCTGAATTCAAATTCCTATCATCCTCAGTTAACTGTGCCAGCTGGGGCTTACGGTGAGTAGACCCCAACAAAATTTGGAAGGCCTGTCGATCATCCTTGTCCTGGAATGTATGGGCAAACATTGAAACCGAAGGGCAGGAGATTTGAACGGGCAGAGGAGGGGGCAGGACCTTCATGTAATATCCCAAATGAATCCCCAGCAGCTAAGGAGCAGCAAACTTTTGCCTTCACATTGGCTTTGTCCTTTTCCCAGAAACATCTGCTTGGCTCCAGTAGAGCAACTGGACTTTTATCAAGCCTTTAATAAGCTACAATACTTGATTAGGAAGCTTCTTCCTGTTTGATGGCACACAGGTCTGTTTAAGACTATTGGAGGGATATGACCTAGTTTAAAGATGCTAAGCTATAATGTGGCTTGATCTTGGTTTACTATGTCGTGTGATCTCAACTAGTATGGTTTACTGAGTAAATGATGTGGTTGAGCAAACTATAGTTCAGTATGTTGAATCTCGTGTACAGTTAATCCTCAATTTATGACCACAGTTGAGCCCAAAATTTCTGTTGCTAAGCAAAGCAGTTGTTAAGTAAGCTTTGATCCTATTTTGCGACTTTCCTTGCCCCCGTGGTTAAGTGAATCACTGCAGTTGTTAAGCTAGTAACACAGTTGTTAAGTGAATCTGGCTTCCCCATAGATTTTGCTTCTCAGAAGGTCACAAGAGCTGATCACATGATCCCAGGACACACTGCAATCCTCATAAATATGAATCAGTTGCCAAGCATCTGAATTTTGATCAAGTGACCATGGGAATGTTGTAACTCTCGTTAAGTGTGGAAAACGGTCCTGCTGTAAGTCACTTTTTCAGTGCTAACTTTGTAACTTTGAACAGTCACTAAATGAACGGTTGTAAGTCGAGGACTACCTGTATGTGTACTTGGACTGGCAGGATTCTAAACTTTGCAATGGAATATCAAAAGTGGTTTTTATTGTTGAAGAAAGAAACAGACGTAGATATTTATGTCATTCGTGGGCATTTGCAATGGAATCCTTTCTGCTGATACAGGCAGTCCTCGTTTAGCATCATTCACAGCTACCACAGTGATGGAAAAAATAACTTTAGGACCAAGCCTTGCATTTATGACCATCGCAGAACTGCAAAGCAGAGAAAAGTTGAAGTAAAATCATTTGCACAGAGGCAATTTCATTTTAGCAATTGTTTTGCTTAACAACCAATTTGTCAGGCCCAATTGTAATTGCTAAATAAGGACAGCCTATATAGGAAACTGGCAGAGACTGCAACTTAAGTTACTTTGTACCTTTTTCAAATGTCTATATGTTCTCTTTCTCCTTCCCCTGATTTTAAAAGAAAATGGGAAGAAAGGAATGAACACAAGAATTGTGAAGTGTAATAAAATAGCCATAGCTACTCCCCCAAAGCCAACCCACCGTAACCTGTGAATTATACAATCCCACTATACCATTGTTTTGAAT